ACACATAACTGAAAACGCCAAATTTAACAATGCCACGTGATATGTCGTTCTCCTTCAATTCACGTAAAACCTTTTTGATCCCAAAGGCGTCGAAATCTTTTTATTCCAGTTTTTAAATATTTCAAATATTAATAATTTTATGTTTATAAAATACGATTTAAAAAAAAAATAAATAAGACAAATAAATAATAAATTTTAAATAGTTTTGACAACAAAACATTTGGTTGGTATTTAAGCATTTTTTTTGATGCCTTGATAAAATTTTATTTGTCCCGACCAAACTTTAGTTAACACAACAAAAATCCTTGTTTTCAATTTTTTTTTGCGTTGGGGCGCACGATTGTTTCATAAAAATCATTAGTTAGAATTTTGACTTTAAAGAATTTTATTATTTTTTAGACGAATATTTATTTCAAAAAAAAAAAATAAATAAACTGCTTTCTTTGGATTAAAAAAATCAATACGAAAATGAAGACATTTAGTATAAATGAACCTGTTAGGGAAGAATTTGTTTTTGAAAAGAAAAAATATAAAATAAACAGAAGATGGAGAAACATTCAGGGAAAATATATTTATACAAAGTTTCACGCCAGTGGGATCATATTTTTTCTTCCCCCCCCCCCTCTCTCTCTCTCTCTTACGAGAAGGGCAAGAAAAAGGGCTCGACAAAACGTGTTTGGTTGTGTTTGCGCTCGAGTCCGCGGAAAATCCATTGATCTTATGGCTCAACACACTGGCCCCATTGTGGCCCTCCACTGCCTTGTTATGGTTTACCCAAAAGATTCGGTCCACAGTCTTGTTTATTTCAGAGGGTTGGGGGGCTAGAAAGAGAGTGTAACGGGGGCTTTTTTTCAAATAGAGGCAGTCAAATCTTTTTACATTTTTACGACCCTCATCCACATTTACGGTTATATGTATATATACATCGACTTTGAATTCACATTGTCATTTACAATTTAAAACTGGACCTCATGTTGAGATGCCATCATTCAATTCATTATCTATATCACCTCTGAAAAATGTCACTTTTTGGATTCATGTATATAAAAAAAAAAAAACGAAAATGGTCTTGTTAGCAAAATTGTGAGCTCATCATAATAGAAAAATTTATTGCCTAATTCCTTTCCTTATAAATTCCATTCCTCTCCCTCTTTCATATGTTAATCGACAAAAAATTTATTTATGTAAATAAAAAAAACCTAATAAATAGAAACAGTTATTACACATTTAATAATTTCTTTTTCTTCATTATTGAATTTAATTATGAAAAAAAATTTTACACAGATTCAAAAACGAGATAAAATTGAAATACTTCTGTAATTAATATTGTAAGATATACATATTAAAATTGCTCGACAAACTGTTTATCATTAAAGTGTATATTAATTTACAGTGTGACCTTGTAAATGCAATACATATCGGTAGCAACAATTATTGAAATTGTATAGTCATTTATCGACGATAAATTCGGAAGCTGTGTGACGTGTAAATGACAAGTTCTGTTAATTGACTGAATGTTACGCTTAAATAGTGTCCGAAACGTAACATTAAAATGTGTATCCTGACATATATACACACACACATATTCGAGATGCGAGAAAATAAGTAATAAGATAGTGCAATTTTAAACGTTTGAATATTTATGACTCTTGTTTTGTGTCTGTAATTTACTTACAAACCAAAACAAGGTCTTGGAAAATAATTACAAAATCAGCTTGATGATACCTCCTCGTTTCACTTCATATGGGCGATGTCCAAGTTAGCCCCGTGAGGGGAAGCACTATACCCCCACTCTACCGGCCGGGCCATAAACACGGAGCTCGAGGGACGCATGTACCGCGGGGGGCCTAAGCAGTGTTCTCGGGCCTAATGAAATTTTCTATTTATGGCCCCTAATGAGTTTTTCATGAAAATTATAAAATTTTTTAATATTAACAATTTTTAATTTTTTTTAACATATTCACATTCCTCATAATTTTACGATTACGAGCATATGTTGTCCCAATTAAAAATGTTAATATTTAAAATGTTTATAATTTTTATTGAATTATGTCGCCTGAATCCCCCAGTATCGATCTAGTCATGATACCGAATAACTTTTTTAATAAAAATTAAATCTTTTTAAATATCAACATTTTTTCCCCTTATTTTTATGCGATTCAGACATAATTTTTTTTTTAAATGTTGAAATTTAAAAAGATTTAATTTTTTTTAATCACAACTTTTCCAGGCTTAGGACTTTTTAAATTTCAACATTTAAAAAAAATTATGTCTGAATCGCATAAAAATAAGGGGAAAAAATGTTGATATTTAAAAAGATTTAATTTTTATTAAAAAAGTTATTCGGTATCATGACTAGATCGATACTGGGGGATTCAGGCGACATAATTCAATAAAAATTATAAACATTTTAAATATTAACATTTTTAATTGGGACAACATATGCTCGTAATCGTAAAATTATGAGGAATGTGAATATGTTAAAAAAATTTTTAAATTGTTAATATTAAAAAATTTTATAATTTTCATGAAAAACTCATTAGGGGCCATAAATAGAAAATTTCATTAGGCCCGAGAACACTGCTTAGGCCCCCCGCGGTACATGCGTCCCTCGAGCTCCGTGTTTATGGCCCGGCCGGTAGAGTGGGGGTATAGTGCTTCCCCTCACGGGGCTAACTTGGACACTGCCCCTTCATATATAACAGAACTTTTTTTTTTAAAAAAAGGGAGGGGGGATGACAACCATAAATAGTGATTCAAAAACGGAAAATTAATTGGCAAAATATAATTTTGCACAAATAGCAATTTGCATAAATAGTTCATTAACATTGGCAAATATGGCAGAATTTATTTATTACACACGTTCAAATTGAAAAGTATTTGGATTTATATTTCGACGCTTTTTTTAAACGAATTTAAAAAAAAATAGGATTAAATATACGAAAATAATGGAAGATGTGTATTTTTTTTAAGTGAGTAAAAAAAAATAAAAAAAAGAGTAAGTAAAACAGCTTTCAAAATAAATTTCTTCTTCTGTGGTTTTTTGTTTCTTGCATAACCACACTGACGAAATAAAAAAAAAAGGAAAAATTTGCTCGCGTGCAATCGGAACAAAAGTTGAAAGAAATGACGAAAAGGGAACTTTACTTTTTTATTTTTTGGTTAGACCGCAACTGAAATTGAAGATGAATCGCACGATTGAATCAAGAAGAAAGTTTATATGGTTTTATGGCACCCCTTCTAATGGAATTATATATATTCGTCCTCTGATCACTTTAGGCACGAAAAATGTGCAATGTAAATTGCCCGAAATTTTTTTTAAAAATTTTTTCTTTATTTATTACTTTGAAGAGCAATACAAAAAATTTTGAAAGTAAAAAACAGAAAAAAAATATATATATAAATGTAAAAAACTTTCGGAAAGTGATACAAATATATTTTTTTTAAATTATTAGTCAAATTTTTATCCTATTTTTAGCGAGTTTCCTATCTACCTTCTCCATTAGACGGTAAAACAGAGAAGCGCGATATTTAAAAAATTACTGAATTTCTTCCTCAAATTTTAAAATTTATTCAAAGTATTAAAATTTGAATAACGAAAAGATTTTTTCTAAATATTTCTTGACACACCCAAAAAAAATCAAATATAGAACGGAACTTCTACAAGAGAAAAATTAGAATAATTTAACAACAAGAACCAATGAAAAGGGGGGCCAAGCGAGGGGCCAAGTATATAAATAATGATCATTCATTGATCTCACCAACAGTGTGACAAGCAGGAAACATATTTTCGAGTCTTTGAAATTATATCACACAGAGGAGGAAGTGACTGTGACATGATTCAGAAAGATTGCCCGGAGTGGCAAAAAAAAAAGTAAAGCAATTGCCTACATAAAAAAAAGAGCGTCTTATTATTGGGCTGGTCACGAATCAGGTCAAAAGAATGAAACAGCATACATGTACTCGCCCCCATGGTGCCCCCGTACAAAACGACAAACATACCATTATTTATTTTTTTTTCTTTTCCTTAACACAAAATATTCGTGAAACGTGTGTCGACAAAAAGAATCGTGCCATCACGTGCATTAGCGTTGATATTCATCACTAACCCCCCTCCTGGAGGGGGGCAGGAGGTGGGGTGAAGTTTCAGGAGCCAATAACACTCCGGATGCTCTGCAAAAGTCAAAATCAAGACTAAAACCGTTCATGTGGAAAAAAAAGAAATATGTATACGACAATGGGGTGTCTGCTACTCTCGCGATATATATCTCTTTCAATCAGGTGGGGGAACCCCGTTGCTTCGTGGGCAAAGAATAAACCATGAAAGAACCTCGACGTGGCCACTGTCACAAAGATGTCTCCCCTGACAAAAATATTTAACAACAATCGCCATTGTATATAAAGGCGACGGAGGGGAAGATGGAAACATTTCCTTTTTTGAGACATCTCTCTAGAGGTATGATGTCTCTCCTCCTTGGAATTAGATCATTGTTCCGTGAATGACGGGGTGTCGCGAAAAAAAAAATTGTTATGAAACGTGTTCCTTAGAATGAAAATTTAGACACTATCGCGTCTTTTGTGAATAGAAAAGAAAAATAAAACCTCTAGGAAATTTTAGTATTACAAGATCATCCAGGATAAAATAGGATAATATATTGATCTCGTAGAGAAAAATATAATTTCCATTTTTTTTTTCTAAATTATTAATTTTTGTACACTGAAAAAATTGCAAATAATTGTTTACTTGACTAATTTGCAAGTAAATATTTTAAAATAATTATTGTGTCAATTAAATGGGATTTGTAATTGAAAAATTATTTGAATAAAATATTACATATATATTTACTTCAAATAAAAATTATTTAGTTCAAGTAAACATTTATTTCACTGAATAAATTTGAATTAAATAAATTTTTTCAGTTTAGTTATAATACAATTATTGTAATTACAAATTTAATTATTGTAAAAAAATTATAAATGGAAAATTAAATAATAAATACCTTCTAGAATCTGGGAACAATGTTGTCGATGAATTTTTCCAATGTTATTAAGAAGCACTCACTTTAAAAAATTGTCCAAATACACTCTTCATCACCGAAAACACGCACTGAAAATTAATAAAAAAAAAATTATAACACTTTTGAACTGAAAGAATAATAATTAATGATTTTTAAAAATTAAAAAATTAAGAAAATTAAGAAAATTAAGACGAGCGATTTTGAACACGTGCGAACAGAATGATTTTCAAATTGTAACTACAAAATTCACTACCTGGTTTTACGACTTAATATTCAATCCTTTGTGTTCGTTCCAAGTACATAATCAGACAGGTATACACAAAACTGTGATAATCACACAACCTTTGTTGTTTTGATGCATTTCTTCAAAGAAAACAGGTTTGCCAATATATACAGGATGGAAAATAAATTGTCAATCATAATAATTTTCAATGTTATTAAATAATAATAACAAATTGAATTTTAATAAATTGTTGAATTACATATTTTCAAATATATTTAATTGGTTGAAATTTTTACCAATTTAGATTTGTATTTTTCTAAAATCAAAACGGTCATTCATTTCAAAATTAATTTTAAAAAATACTTTCAACATGTTTTAACAAACAGCAAATAATGCAGATTTTCAAATCTGTTTTCCATGAAAAAAAAAGTTTACAACTCAGTTAGATACAAGACAAATACAAAAGACGACAGATTTTCTATAACTATATAAGGACATATAAATCCGAGTTAAAAGGTTAATGGAACAAAATCTCGTGCTGTTCACCTATATAAAGTAAAATTGAACATCCCCTGTGGACGATGCAAGAGAGACCCTTTTTAAAGAAGTAAAAATATTTCAATGACATGGTCATTTTCTGTTTACGAAGATGTTACGTATTATTTACAAGTTGTACGACACCAATTCAATGTCATTGTTAAATGTACGCCAACAAAGTTCTTTTACCACCCACCACGAGCAGATGCATCACTTAGAGTATATATAGGAAACATTTTCTTTCTTTATTTTTTTCAAAAATCACTCAAATTGGTTTGTCAAAAACTCCAACAGATCACAGCTATTCATGATTTTTGCCTGAACAAATGTTACCTACAAAGTGGTTGGTTAGCGTGTTTGCAAAGTCGCGGACTTCATGGAGTGAGAGACATACAAAATTTATTATACCGAGAAATTCTTTTTTGTCAAATAGAAACATCTGTGGATCTTTCCAATGTTTTCCCAGTAGTAAAAAGAAAAAAATTATTCTTCCTCGAATTTGAAAACAATATCTCTTTTTTATGTTTATTTTTTATATCTCTCTTGACTTATTTCCATCACAATTTTATTACTCGTTTTTTTCGATTTAAATATTTATTTTTATTACTTTTTTCTTTATTTCTTAACATTTTTATTATTTTTAATTTGAAATTATAAATTTATATAAATTTTGAGAAAATATTTTTTTTTTAAACCAATGTCATGTTACTATAAAATATATCAAACTGAAAACAATATAGAAAATCGTTTAGAAAATCTTTACATTAAGAAAAATCTCTGAAAGGAATGCCATTGAAGGCAAAGACATTTCAGATGATTTTAATCTCTGCCAAAAAGAAAATGGAAATGGAAATGACCTGAACCTTAAAACCTTACCTTAAAACTATTTCTTCAACAAGTTTAGTGTTCATTCAGAAGTGGCAAAGGAGACTTGACAGAAAAAAAAAGTTTTAGTTTTAACTTTAAAAACAAGTGAATTTTTCAAAACGCTAATATGTTGAAATTATCAATATTAATTCTTCTCTATAAATTGACAAGTGTACTGTGCAATTATGAGACATTACCAAAAATTATTATGATACCAAATGGCGTAGAACCAAAAATTTGTGTATCCGTAAAAAATCGCGATCTTCCACCATGTATTAATGAATTTAAGGAACAACAGAAAAAATTTTCATATCAAATTAGCAAAATTAGAGAAAGTTATTCCGACATGATTATTGATTATAAAGATCCAAAAAATGAAAGTTTTGAAAATTATGGACCCGGTAAGATTTATTTAAAAAGTTTTGAATCATTAAATCGTGAATTAGAAGAAGAGGAAAGACAAAGATTATTAAAACAACAAGAAAATGCATCGAAAAACAAGGAAAATAATTTAATTACCAATAGACCTGAATTTGCCCAAAAAGAAGAAGAGGAATTAAAAAAATTTATGCATTCAGCCATTATGAAGCAAGATGATTCAATTGATAATATATCCGAAGAGATTGAAGATCAAAGGGAAGAAGAAACATTCGAGGATTTAAATTCAAAGATATTTGAAGATGATGATGTTAATGATGATAATGATGATAATAATGATAATGACGATGATAATAAAGATGAAAATAACAATGATAATAATAATTATGATAATAATTATAATAACAATTATAATAATAATAATTACAACAATTATGATAATAATTATAATAATAATTATAATGATGATAATGATAATAATGATGATGATGATGATCTTAATAACGAACCAACAATTATACAAATTACTAGACCTGTTCGCTCATTGGATACGACAATATTAATTGCTGATGAATGTATTCCCATTAATGTTAAAATTTGTGATTCTACAGATCTAATTGCTGACGATGAAAAAAGAAAAACAAGAAAACAAAAAAGAAGTATTCCATCTATTAAAGATTTTTTTAAAACTTTCCCTCGACACAAAATAAATCACATTGATAAAAATCATTCTCAACGTAAAAATTTAATGAAGAAAAATTTTTACAACACAGTGAACAATAAATTGGAAAATAAATATAGAAAGCCAAAAATTGTGAATTTATTGAATAAATTTAAAAAAAGAAAATAAAAGGTAAATAATTTGTTTTATAAAAATATTTACTTCTTTTTTTTAAATAAAATTGTTAAAATTTTTAACCATTACATAATTTCTTTAAAAAATGGTTAAAAATTAAAAATATATGAATTTATTTTAAATATGTATATTTTTATGTTCCAGCTGCTTAATGGATTTATCACTAGGGAAATTTTTAAAGAAGATATATAATGACACGAGATAAAAAGGGAGATATTCAAATAATGTGCAATTTTCTAATGCAAAGGATATCATTATTTTCAAAGTAGATTGAATAACTAAATATGCACTCAATTGACTCATGGAGGGAACGGAAGTGAGGTCTGCGCGCGAACTTTTGAAATTAGAATGCAAGTCTACGAATGAAGTTCATGTCGTCAATATATTATAATTTATATTTTATTTTTTAACAAAAATTGTAACAAAGAATTTAAAAAAAAATTATTTATAAATATGAGCAAATGAAAAAAAAATTATATATTTATACAAAAAAATATATAGAACTACTAAATAAATAAACAAATTATTTAAAAATATGTATCCAATTATTATTTTATAACCTACATTTTTTTATAATAATAATAATAATTGCTACAATAACAATAATAATACAATAACTAACAAATATTAAAAATTTTTATTATTAAAAAAAATTGCATTAATTAAATAAATAAAAATTTCTTTTATTTTACAGTGATAGTAGAACTATCCACGGTTACCCGTGAAAACCCTGAGAAAATTTTAAATTATTATATAAATTCTCATTAATTTCGAAAAATAATCTGTAATCAAAATCGCGGAACTATAAAATATAAAAATTGGGAAAATTGTTAATATAGAATATATAAAAAGGAGACCACGTCATTCTTCTAAATTAACTATCTCCTTTCATCCCTTCCTATATAAGTATATCTAAATGACCTCAAACCTTAATTGAGAACTAATATTGTAAAAGCCGGAACATTATAAAGAAAATGATCCGACAAAAGGCTCTGGAAGCTCCTTATAACCAATATAATATATATAAATGACAACCGAGAAAAAAGAATATAACGAAAAAAATATCGAAAATAGTATATAATATATATATGAAGCGAGAAAAAATAAATCCCATCACGTATATAATTATAACACCGGGAATTTTATCTAAAAGCGTCTCTCTTGGGACTTCTTTTTGAGACCGCATGCTCATTACACTCGAAGGAGTCTCTGTAATTCGGTGTTCCTTTCTCTCAAAAAAAAGACACCTGCAAAAATGACACGACTTAAAAGGATTTTTGCCGTTTCTGAATCGTCATTCCACACCGTATATAGTGTCACTTTTCACGCCCCAAAAAAGAATTAGTTTCGACCATTTTTGGCGCAAAAGACACACGAGAGGCGTCATTTTAATGATCCCGAAAAATTATGAAAGTGACCATCTTTTCTATATTCTTTTCTTTGGAAAAAGAGAAAAATTATTCCACCCACCGTGACAATGTAACGCCATAGTGTGCCCACTTATTATTTTTCAATAATTAGGAAACATTTTTGGTCAAGTCTAACACCCTTAGAAAAACGAAATTTAAATAAGTTTTACACTTATAATTATAGTGAACGCTCTAATTTATTTTAATTGTACTGGACGTTGCGCCTTGACCCTGAATTATAGAAAAAAAAACATTAGTCAAAATGTCGAAAAAATTTTCTCCCGAGAAAAAATTGTTTTAAAATTAAAATTTATTATTTTTAAACTAGTTTTTTTTACTAAGAAAAACGATTTTTGTCTCAAAAAATAATTCCCATTTTCAGAAAAATTGTAACACAGAAAATTAAAAGGCATTAAAATGAGCTGCAACGCTTATTATTTTAATCCAATTTTGCTTATTTTAATACCAAAATGGATTAAAATAAGCAAAATTAGATTAAAATAATAAGCGTTGCAGCTTATTTTAATGCCTTTTAATTTTCTGTGAAAATATTTATTAGCAATTAAAACAAAAAGGAATTTTACAAAATAATACTAAATTTTCCTAATCACTGATTTTACTAAATATTTCCATATTATTTTCTAAATTTATATTAGAAAGTACTATTTTTTGAGTACTATTTTCCTGACTCATTTTTATATAAAATTTATAGTTAAGAACAGATTTCCTGTCAATATTTTCTTCCTCAGATTTTTAAAAAAGAAAAATCACATTTTCTTTTCTGATGACTGCAAAACCTTTTTATTTTTTTGCCCCCGCCAATCCATAGGAATATTGATATTTATTATAAAGGAAAAAAATTTTTTCTTTTCCCAAAATTCTTCCCCGCCGCGATAAACGTTCAACCAAGTGTCAAATGAATAGTTTTCAATGTTTCCATTGACACGTCGTTTGACACGTGCGTTATGCGTCGGCCACTTCTGAAGAACCTGGACCGCAACGAAGAAGAGGACGACGACGACGACGAAATGAGATGGGATGGATCCCTCTTTGAAGGTGCGAGCCGCAAAACAGGCCGCCTCTTCCACTTGGATTCAAGTATCAGGCGTTACAATCTCATCACGACGAAATAATTCACCAAGGCGTTAAGGAAATAATCTCCGCGCACACGTTAAAATAATCCACCGTGATGTAATATGTAAAAAGAAAAAAATTTAGAAAAAAAAGGATCCGAAAAAAGAAAGAAAGAGAATTGAATAAAAGACGCGGTTGCATTCAAAAAACCAATTATTTGGATAGTGAGACGTATAGCTTCTGTGATTCGTATACATATATAAGAAGTTTAGATTATATAAAATTAAAGGAAGCGTGAAAGGGCTTGCTAGAACCATTTTATATATAAGTGTTTAGGGAGAGTTTCAAAAGTGCGGTTTACGCGTATTAACAATATAAAAATAGAGACCGTGCCAAGATTTTACACGCATGGCGTGAAAATCGATGCGCCTTTCCTCCTCTCATCTCGATACGGATTTTTCACGATCATTGAACAAAATCGATATCTTAGTTTTCCAATACCTATATATATTTTAATTTTATTTAATATATTTTTTTTATCTTCTTATGCGATTTAATTAAAAACATATTTTCTGCTCTCTAAATTTAAAAAAAAAATTTGAAAGTAAAAAATCAGTCACTGATTCGAATATAACTAATCATTTAGTTAAATTTAACTAATTATTAGTTAAATAAATTTGGGTTATGTAGAAATAATTTAATTAATAAAATTTGACTATTTTTTCAGTTATTTTTTGACTAATAAATAGTTTTTTTTTACTAATAATTAGTAATATTTTTTTCTTTTTACTATATAGAATTCCATTTACTCTCTAAATCTGAATTAGTAAAAATGTTTACTAATTTAAATTAGTTACTCACTTTTTGCTTCTGAATTAGTAAAATTTAACTAATTCTAAAGCAAAAAGTGAGTTTCTAATTTAAACTAGTAAACATTTTTACTAATTTAGTTTTAGAGAGTAAAATTAAATTTTGTTTTTAATAAATAAAAATGATAAATAAGTTTATTCCGCATAGAAAATTTTCAATTATACTCAAAAAAGATTTTCAAGATTTTTCTTTTTCTTTTCCTTTAATCTTAATCCGATTTAGTCAAGAGAAATTCGTTTCAGTCTAAATATATGGCGTAAAAAATCATTATAAACGCTCGAGAAAAGTGTGGTAATTGTTATAAAATACAAAAAAGAAAAGAGAAGGAGAACCCACGTTGAAAAAAACACATAATCGCAAATGCGGTGAATTTCAAAAGAAAAAAAAAGAAAAAAAAATTCGTACACTTCCGTTTGTGAGGATAGTTTGCGGCAAATTAGTTCATATATAGCATTTCCTGGATGATCCCCGTTACGTGTCGATAAAGGGCTTTGTAAATTGGGACCTTTGGTGATTTTCTAAAGGGCCTCCACGATTTTGTAGGCGGGGTTCTTACCGACACGAAGATAAAAGACGAGAGCGAGAGAGAGAGAGAGAGAGAGAGAGAGAGAGAAATTTTACTTAACACATGCAAAGCTATCTCAAATTCTAAATGGTTGAGTAGCAGGTGTTCGTATTTTCCAAAACGAATTTGAACCCCCCCTCGAAAATATTGCATTTTTACACTGAATGCCAATAGAATAAAATAAGAATAAGAAGATGAAGAAGAATAAGACACGATTAGTTACACATATATTATATATAGTGTTCAATTAGAAGATGGACCTAAAATTAATACACACTTTAATGGGATTTGTGAGAACGATAAAAATCGTTTTAATTCAAAAAGCCATTTATATGTTTCTTATTAAAATTTATTTTTCCTTTTCTTTCACGCCAAATAATAATCAATCTATAACTGAACCCAAAACTTCAAATTACATTTTATTCACTAGTTTTTTTTTTTTGTCCTATAATTATTTTTAGTATTTCGAAATTCTTTTTTTTTATGTTTAGAACAGAATTAAAAAACTTTTTTCATTTATTTTATTTTTACAAATCAAAATTATATATTCTTTTTCTTAAATAAATAATATTATTATAATAAAATATCTATTGTCCCAAAAAAATTCTAAATCCAACTGCAAATATTTTGAACAAAAAAAAAATCGGTTAAAATTCTCTCGTATTTTTTTCGAGAAAATTCGTACATCATCTACTTCGGTCAAATTCACAAGAAATTTCCTCGCATGATTGCGCATATCCTGCATCACCTTGTTATAGTATTTACATTATATTATGAGTATATATATATATATACACAAATCAAAGAGATGTTCAGATTCAAGGTGCTTTAAAAACCCTCTAAGCTCCATTCAATTTGGAATATGCTTCTATTTAATCTAACAAGACCCTTTGCGCGTTTGTAGGTCGTTCAAGGTATTCGCCCGTAAAGAATAAAAGATAGATGCTTCTACGTAAAGAAGAAAAAAAAAGATTGCAATAGGATTCGCTGATGCGTGCAGTTTTAACTCCCCTCCTTAAAGACGCGATTTCTTTTCATATTTTTCTTTTTCTTTTCTACATACAGAAAGAGAGACAGATTTCCTATCGCGAATTTAGATCGTTCCCGATTTAACCTTTCTTGAGATTTGTAAACGAATATTGAGCCCTTCGTGATCATAACAAGAAAAAAAAAGGATACGAGACGTTTATTTGTGAAACACGCGTTTTACGCATCGATTGAGAGATTTAACGAGCGTGTGATGTGCAGAGGATTTTCTGATGTGACAAGAGTGTCCTGACAAAATATCCCAGCTGGTACCGTATTAGGAGAAAAAAAAATAACATCGATACTTCCAAATAATGGAACATTGATAAATCTCACATAATATAATCGAAACTGTGGGTGTCAAATTCTCAATTCTTTATTATGTCCGCAAAAAAAGAAATTTTTTTTTTTAATTAAAACACATTTTTCATTACAGCATACATTTTCTATTTTTCTGATTGTATCATAAAAAAAACTCTTATAAAAATATATGAAAAGAATCTCAATAAAAATCGAGCCAAGAATGATAATTCGATTTTTATAAGAAATTACCCGCGGAAGGAAAATTTATTTTTATTCAAATCGAAATAAA